GTTTCAGTGTCTGTTAGAACCACAGGGAAGCTGGGGGTAGTGTAACTGGTTAGATGCTGGTGTGATGGCTCTGAGGGTTTTATAGGTCTGGAACCGAGCCTACCTGAATCCAGGCACTAAAGCGGCACACCAAAGCAGCACAGAGGACCTCACCTCACACTATTGTGGCTCCTGACAACGTGGATCTGAGCTCCCAGAGAGCAGGGTCTACGCTGTGTGTGGGTGGAGCTGACCACACTTATCATCACCAGGGTTGTTGTTGTTAGATGCCATTGAGTCGGTACCAACTCATAGTGACATTATGCACAGCAGAATGAAACACTGCCTGGTCGGTCTTGGGCCAACCACACTATTGTTGTCACGCTTGAGTCTATTGATGCTGCCACTTAGCCAATCCATCTCATTGGGGGTCTTCCTCTTTTTCTCTGACCGTCCACCTTACCAAACATGATATCCTTCTCCAGCAACTGATCCCTCCTGACAATGTGTCCAAAGTATGAGAGACAAAGTTTGGTCATCTTGGCCTCCAAGGAGCACTCTGGCTGCACTTATTCCTGAATGGATCTATTGGTTCTTTTAGCAGCCCTTGGCACTTTCAATATTCTCCAGCACTGTAACTCAAAAGCATCAATTCTTCTATGGTCTTCCTTATTCACTGTCCAGCTTTCACATGCATATGAGATTATTGAAAATACCATGGCTTGGGTCAGGCACACCTTAGTCCTCAAGCTGACATCTTGGCTCTTCAACACTTTCAAAAGGTCTTGTGCAGCAGGTTTGCCTACTGCAATACGTCGTTTGATTTCTTGACTGCTGCTTCCACAAGTGTTGATAGTTGATCCAAGAAGAATGAAGTCCTTGACAACTTCAATCTTTTCTCTGTTGATAAGAATGTTGTTTATTGGTCCAGTGGTGAGGATTTTTGTTTTCTTTACATTGAGATGTAAGCTATACCAAAGGCTGCGCTCTTTGATCTTCATCAGTAAATGTTTCAAGTCCTCTTCACTTTCAGCAAGCAAGGTTGTATCATCTGCATATTGCAGGTTGTTAATGAGTCTTCGTCCAATCCCCGATTTTTTGCTTAGCATACAGGTTGAATAATACTCAGGGTAGGGTAGGGAGAAAGAATAAATAGTTATCTTTTCTATCACCCATTTGAATCTGCTCTGCCAGATCTTTCATTGCCAAATCTGTTCACAAGATGGTCTAGCCAGCCATTCATCAGTCAGCCTCTCTTGCCATCCATGCTCAGCCTGTTTTCTCAGTAAGCACTTCATTCATCTTTCTAACTTTCTTTTTAAGCTCAGGATTCCAGAATTTTTATCTGTTTCTGTTTTATTTTATGTCTCATATCATTTTTATGTAGCATCCATGTTGTGTGTTTGCCTATTTCACCATGTTGTCCTGAAGTTCTCTTGTGAACATTCTTCTATAACATTTTGTTTGAACACTTTTTAGTTCTTTTGGGTGTTTACCTATGGATGGAATTATTTATTCATGTTAATTCAATATTGAACTTATTTAATAACTGTTTTCCACAGTGGCTGCTCCAGTTTGTATTCCCACTAGCAGTGTTTGAGGACTCCAGTTTCTTCACATCCTTGTCAATACTTGTTATTGTCTGTCTTTAGATTATAGCCATTCTAGTGAGTGTGAGCCTAGTGAGTGTGTGGCTTTCTGCTGTGGTGCTGTAGGATAAACACTGGACTGCTAACTGCAAGGTCAGTGGTTCAAACCCACTAGCTACTCCTAGGAAAACCCTATACAGGGTTGCTTTGAGTCAGCACCGACTTGCTGGTACTTAACAACAACTAACCCAAAGGTTGGTTTTTGCACACACCCAGCGGTGGCACCGAAGAAAGACCTAGGGATTTGCTTGTGTAAAAATTACAGCTCAGAAAACTATATTGAGCAATTCTGTTCTGTCCCATGTGTTGTCAACATGAGTTAGAATCAACTTGATTGCAAAATATTTTTTAAAGTGTGAAATGGTTTGTTTATTGTGATAGTTAATTTCTTTTTATGGCTCCTTATTAATCCATTTATATAGAAATGCTATATTTTATCTATTCATTTTTTAGACATTTAAATTGATAAGTGAAGGAGGGTAGCGTTTTGTTTCGACTATGATGATTAATCCTGCTGTAAACATTATAATTTTTTGTGTGTGTTATTTTCATTTTTCTTGGGTTCCTTGACTTTTTTTTTTTTAATGTACTCAGTCATTTGTTGTGTTGAGTATTTTTCACTCTGTATTTTGCTGTTTGTGTAATACAACTTATGTAATACATTGCAATTTAGTAATACATCTCTGTGTTGTTATTAGGTTCCATTGAGTCAGTTCCGACTCATAGTGTCCCTATGCACAACAGAACAAAACACTGCCCTGTCCTGAGCCATCCTCAGAATTGTTATGTCTGAGCCTAGTATTGCTGCTACAGTGTAAGTCCATCTCATTGGGGGTCTTCCTCTTTTTCACTGACAGTCCACTTTACCAAACATGATGTCTTTCTCCAGGAATTGGTCTCTCCTGAATACATGTCCTAAGTACAAGAGACTGTCTCCCCATGCTCGTGTTTAAGCAGCATTCTGGCTATACTTCTTCCAAGACACATTTGCTTGTTTTTCTGTCAGTTTTTGCTACTTTCAGAGTTCTGATGTGCCATTGTGGATTTATGCACTGAAATGCAGTCTGTTTGAACCATAAGGTTGGTGGTTCAAGCTCACCAGCCACTCCTTGGACACCCTACATGGGTTGCTATGAATTGGGACTGACTTGATGACACTTAATAACAATGCTACTTTCAGTATTCTTCCCTAGCACCAGAGTACAAATAAATCGATTCTTCTCTGGCCTTCTTTTTCACTGTCCAGCCTTCATATTCATATGAGGCAATTAAAAATACCATGTTTGAGTTAGATATACTTTACTCTTCAAGCTGACATCTTTGTTTTTTACCTCTTAAGTCTAATACCATATGTGCCTTGACTACTGCTTCCAAGAGCGTTGACTATAGATCCAAGCAAAATGAAATCTTTGATAACTTCAGTCTTTTTTCTGTTTATCATGGTGGTCCATTTATGAGGTTTTTCATAAAATTATTTGAAGTACAATCCATTCTGAAGGCTGTAGTTTTTTTTTATCTTCATCAGTAAATATTTCAAGTTCTTTTTACCTCCCTCAGGCAAGGTTGCATTATCTGCATATTGCAGGTTGTTAAATGAGTCTTTCTTTTATCTTGATACCACATCATTCTTCATATAATCCAGCTTCTTGGATTATTTGCTCAACATACAGATTAATTAAGTGTGGTTAAAGGATACAGTCTATGTATGTGCACACCATTTCTGAATTTAAACCACTCAGTATCCCTTGCTTTGTTCTGATGTCACTCTTTTTGTCTGTATACAGATTCCTCATGAGCACAAGTTAATGTTCTGGAATTCCCATTCTCACAATGTTATCCTTAGTTTGTTATGATCCACATAGCTGAATGCTTTTGCAAAGTTAGTAAAGTACGAGTGAAAATCTCTCTGGTATTCTCTGTTTTCAGCCAAGATCCAATGGACTTCAACATTGATAGTCCTATTTCCATGTTCATTCTAAATCTAGCTTGTAATTATGTTCAGTAGAATTTTACTTGTATGCGATATTAATGATGCTGTTCGATAATTTCTGCATTCCATTGGGTCACCTTGCTTTGGAATAGGCACAAGTATGTATCCCTTCCAATCAACCAGGTAACTAACTGCCTTTCAACTTTCTTGGCATAGAAAAGTGAGCATCTCCACCACTGCATCAGTTTGTTGAAAGATCTCAGTTTGTATTCCATCAATTCCTGGGTCCCTTAGTGCCTTTAAGGAACTGGATTAATTTATTCCTTCAGTATCATCAATTCCTGATCATGGTACATCTTGAAATGGTTGAACATCAAACCATTTCCTTCTGTTTTCTTTTGATGCTTTCATTCAATATTTTGCACATAGAATCCTTCAGTATTGTAACCCGAGGTTTGAAGTTTTTCTTTAGTTCTTTAAGCTTGATAAACTCTGATTGTGTTTGTCCCTTTTGGTTTTTTGACCCCAGGTCTTTTATAATACTTAACTTTGGCTTGGCAAGCTGTTCTTTGAAAATTTTTGATCAGCTCTTATACTTCATCATCTTTAGCTTTTCTACATTCAGGAAACTGGTAGAGAAACATGATTTTTAAAATTTGTCTAATGGTTGTGTAGTGTTTTTAGTAGTACCACGTGACTGCCATATATTGTGGCTGTAATTTTTATTGTCTTAGCATTTTTAAAATTGTTTTCTCTTGGTCCATAAATTCAATTCCTGATTTGAGTATTGTAAGTGAACTTTTCCATTAGATTGACTTACCTTTTGAAAGCGACTTGTTTTACTTTTTTCTAGTAAATTAGAGATCTTTATTTGAATAAGTAGGAGTTTACAAAGTGAGGTTAGCTTCTATTTATAGACAACAATAAAGTCACTACTTTTTTTTCTTTCTTTGCCAGTCTTGACCGGTATACTTTAAAAGAAGCCTTCAGATTTTTATTAATTCCAGTATCATTTTTCCTTAACTGAAACAAAATATTTAGATTTATAGCATTTATTAATGGATTAACCTACCTGTGAAATACATAAAAATTCATCTTCAAGCAGACTGTATGTGTGATTGCATTTAATAATTAGATATTATTCAATTGTATGTGGTTTCTCCTGTTTCATTTCAGAGAGTGAATTGGTTACTTTCTTCCTACACATTCATTCTAAGCAATAAGTTATCAACTTAAGTGTAGCAAACTGCTTGTTAAAGTAATTTTATTTTAGCATCATTTTTACTTCTCTTTGTTGCTTAACTTTTTTTAAATGTAATTTGACTTCTGTATTTCACCACATTTTTTTGTGATCTCTCTTAAACCAAAAAGATTATCAGGTTGAATATGTTTTGTAATTTATAGAAGGACTATTCTTGTTTTTATTGAATATTTTCATATAGGTATTTCAGGAACCAGCAGAAGAAGAACGAGATGGCAGAAAAAAGAAATATCCTAGTCCTCAGAAGACTCGTTCAGAATCTACTGAACGAAGGTTTGTGTTTTTCTTTAATTAGTAAGACATTGATAAGTCATGTTCCTTTAATACAAGAGTATTACAGTTTTTTTTTTTTTTTAATATATACTAACTGTTCTCTCTCAAAAGCGGTTTAAGGAAGAGAATGTTACCTTTCTTCTTCCACTCTGTTTTTTGTCTTTGTCATACTTTCTGTTCCTTTTATAAACATATTCATCATTATGTGTTTTCCCCAAGAGCTCAGGGGTGGGAGAAATCTCCTTAGAGAATAATAATGAAATGTTCCATTTGTTTAGGGGTGCTCAGTATTAAAATTACACACATCAACTTATATTACAAGTAGTGTAATTTTTATATTGAATTTTCACTCTGCCATCAAACAGTTGGTTTTGTTTAGAAGAACTTTATTTTGAGCCATTTTCTTTTCCTACTCAGAATTTTTGTCCTCCCCCTGCTCACCCTTTTACTTTGGATTCACCTTACCTTTTCATTTTTCCCCACCCAGTGTGCTTGAAGTATGAATGCTTTTTCCCTTTCATGTAATGGATTAGAGGATACATTGTGCTCCTTAACAGAGCATAAATGTTATGAATTTTGATGACTCAGGGAAGGTGTTTCATACTACTGATTTGTTTGTAGACTTGGTTTCTGTAGCCAACATATGGCTTTTATATCGGTGTATTATAGAACACGTGATAAAAAAAGAGAAGATGGCAAGTGGAGGGACTATGAGCGGTACTATGAGCGGAATGAATTATACCGTGAGAAGTATGACTGGAGAAGAGGTAGGAGTAAGAGCAGGAGTAAGAGCCGAGGCCTGAGTCGCAGCCGAAGCCGAAGTAGAGGGCGCAGCAAAGATCGGGATCCAAATAGGAATGTTGGTGAGTGTGAAGTGCCCTAAAAATACTGTAGTTGCTTCTTTTCTCTTATAGCTAGGGAAAAAGAAATCTTCTTTAAGATAAATGTACCTTTAATGTTGTAGTAATGTGAAAACTAGAATTTTCTCAAAAACTGAGTATTGATTTTTGCTAAGGGACAGAGTTCAATTCTCCAGATAAAGTCAAAGGAGTTGAACTATGAAGAAGATAATGTATATAATGCTGCCTATTTAGATTTAAGTCACCTTGTATAATTAATGTAACTTTCCTTTAAACAACAAAACTATCATTTGAGGAAGAGGATTGCCTATTTGTTTTTTTCTTTTCTTTTCTAAAGTAATTGGTTTTCTTTAAGGTTGAATAGTGTTTGTAAAATTAAGAAAAAATAATTTTGATTATTGGGATCTCAAACACTAATCTGGGATGTCAGTTTGGAAGTCAGTTCTTGGATAGCATTCTTATTAAATGTCAATGGAGAAACTGGCCCTTTTTCATTAAGTGCATTAATGCTGACATTATAAAATTATTTTACTCAAGTTACTGGTGAAGATAAATAATTTTGATGTTTCTGCTATTAGGGTATATTAATGAGAATAGGTTGAATTATGGTTATTTAGGTCAGTTACCTCAACATTCTCATCTTTCCAATTCTGAAAGTGAGAAAATAAGCATAGCTTAAGAACATAAATGTCTGATCTGTGGTTTTTTGTTTTTGCTTTGTCTCTATAGCTGAGCACAGAGAAAGATCAAAGTTTAAGAGTGAAAGGAATGACTTGGAGAGTTCCTATGTGCCTGTATCTGCACCACCTCCGAACTCTTCTGAACAGTACTCCTCTGGGACACAGTCTATTCCCAGCACTGTTACTGTGATTGCACCTGCTCACCACTCTGAAAACACAACTGAGAGTTGGTCTAATTACTATAACAATCATAGCTCTTCCAATTCTTTTGGTCGAAACCCACCACCAAAGAGACGATGCAGAGATTATGATGGTAAAAATCACCACCTTGTCTTATACCCAAAAGCATTAGTCAGGCAAATGTTGCATATATTAATAACTTTTAATTATAGTATAGAGTTTGTTAAAAGACATCAATAGGGAGGAGAAACTTTTAGTTTACACTTGCCTACTTATTTGTTTTAATGGTTTGACTTTTGTTATGTGATGACCCCTTTTTATTTTTTTATTTGTTCTTATTGTTACTTCAAACACTAAGTATACCATAAAATAAGGTAGACATGAGGATTATAGTTTCCTTCTGTAGTGCTGAGAACTTGTTGCACATGTGTAAGCTAGTTCAAATGGTTGATTATTTTTTTATTTGAACGAATTAGTATATATATGTATATTTATTTTGATTTTAAATTATGACAATATTTAATACTTACAAAAATAAATAATATAATGAACTATGATGTAAGCATTAACTTCTCTCAAAGTAGTCACCATTATGAAGTTTGACTTTAGAGGGCCAACTTAATATTAGTTTCTTCTGTATTTTTCCAAAGATAGTGTATGCATGTGCATATAAGCAAATACATATATGCACCCCCCCAATTTACTTTTTGACATAAAAGGAAATACATATGTGTATCCCCCAGCTTAGTTTTTATGTGCTAGTCACAGTGTTCTGCATAGCTCTTCTTTCATTTAGCAGTTGTTTATGGCATAGTCCTATATTAATGCATAAATAGCTTCTTCTAGTAACTGTTTTTGACCCTGTTATTTGCTATAATCATAATTTCATAGTATAGAAAGTAGAGACTACACCTGCCCCTACCTCAGGGATATGTGATGATTAACAGAATAACACTAAGAACTCTTCAGGTTCCTTGGAGAAAAGCACTTTGTAAATCAGATTGGTGAGTTTTTCAGGAACTTGTTTTTTTTTTTTTTAGCTCTAAGTAAATTATAATAAAATTCTTTTATTCTTACAGAAAGAGGATTTTGTGTACTTGGAGACCTTTGCCAGTTTGATCATGGAAATGATCCCCTGGTTGTTGATGAAGTTGCTCTGCCCAGCATGATTCCTTTCCCACCCCCTCCTCCCGGGCTTCCTCCTCCACCACCTCCTGGCATTTTAATGCCTCCAATGCCAGGCCCAGGCCCTGGCCCTGGCCCTGGCCCTGGTCCTGGCCCTGGCCCTGGTCCTGGCCCTGGCCCAGGTCCTGGCCACAGTATGAGACTTCCTGTTCCCCAGGGACATGGCCAGCCTCCACCTTCTGTTGTGCTTCCCATACCAAGTAAGTATATGTTGGTTGAATCTTTCTTCAGTATAGAATTCTACTTAAGATACTCTGATTCCTTTAGCTAATTTACCACTTGCTTTTAAATATATAAAAAAATAAGTTAATAGAATTTGGGATGCGTGCCCATAATCAAGATACTGTTCTTTCCTTTTTGTATCCATTGTAGTATGGTGTTATTTGCTGTTACTACCAGTGTAAAATTGTTGTTGTTAGTGCTGTCAAGTCAATGACCCTGTTTAGGGTTTCCAAGGAGCAGCTGGTGGGTTTGAACTGCTGACCTTGTGGTTCGCTGTCCAGTGCTGATTATACAGCGCCATGTTACATTGACCTGTAGTCAAAATTCTGCTGATACAGCATGTTGAGTCAGTTCTTTAACAGTTTTCCAGCAGTTTTTAAAATATCAGTTTATTGACATTTCATAATCTATAAAGAAAATCTCTTAATGAATATTGAAATATATATGTTTTAGCTTTTTATAATGGAAATTTTCAAACATACATACCACAAGTACCATCATCAGCTGCTGCAACAGCTATCAATATTTGGCTATATTGTCTCATCTGTCTCTACACACACACACACACACAATTTCTTCAGGGGTTGCGTTTCGTTAGAATAAATTCCAAATGCTATTATCATTTCACTTGTGTGTAGCTCAATACTTGTCTCTTTATTAATAAGGACTACTTTGTTTTGTTTTTAAGAATATAACCAATATTCTGTTATCACACCCAACAAAATTAAGAGTAAGGGATGTTTTAAAATAGGCATTTAAAAAATATTAACAGTTGCTAGTGTAGCAGAAGTGTAAGTAAAACTAAATTTAAAAAATGTAAATGAAAGCATGAACAGTTTACATATACAGACATATATAAGAAAATATCCATTTGAAGACAGTTGACATTAAAAGATGGCAAGACGTTTTAAAAGTTACGTCACTCAATTTTAAGTGGTAAAGTGATTTTTTTTAAAAATGTATTTTTTTGTTGTTATTGGGAACATATGTAGCAGAACATAATATTTATGCAACAGTTTCTTCATGTACAGTTCTGTGACATTGATTACATTATTCAAATTGTGCTGCCATTCTTACCTTCTTTTTCTGATTTATAAGCTCTCCTCCCCTTAAGTGTCCTGTCAGATCTTTCAAGTTGCAGTTGTCAATCTTAGCCTATACGTTGTTATTGTAGTTAAATACCGTGGAGTCAGTTCTGACACATAGTGACCCTGCACAGGGTTTCCGAGGCTGTAAATCTTTACTGGAGCAGAACACC